TCTCCCCATTGGTGGAGATTCATGGGCGGTGCTGGGCCCATAGGGCAAGGGGGGAGGTCACCGCTGGTGGCGGCCTACAGCTTGGCCCCTATTCAGAGCTCATCTGCCCAGAGCTGGCTCCTCCTTTTGTCCAGTGCATGTCCTCAGGGGGTCCCAGGACTCCTTCTTCCCAGAGACCACTCCAGATGTAGGCCTGCCCCTGCAGGGGAGCTGGCCGCTTCCCATCCCCTGTCCATTGTGCCCTGATCTTGACATGGCCCCCACCCCCACCTCAGGTCTGAGAAATTGCTGCCCTGGGTGGAGTGCATGCAGAAGGGCTCTTGGCCACCCCACCCCCAGGCTTTCAGTCTCCCCTACCCCCCACCACCAGTAACAGCAGGCCTGAGTCTCAGCCCTGCCCCCAGGTCCCCCTCCTGCTTGCTCTCCAGGGAGCTGTGCCCAGGGATGTAGGTGACGCACGTGGCAGACCGAATCCCGGGCAGGGCCCCCCAGGCAGCAACAAGCCGCCAAGGGCACTGGGTTGGTTTTCAAACCAGGCTCCTCCTCTGAGACGGGCCACCTGGGCGGCCCTCATCACTGCCCCTGCCCCCAGGGGCTTCTGGGGGTGGTGGTGCAGGGATGTCAGAAGTCCCTGGGGGCCCTCACAGCCCAGCCTGCCCAGGGGCTGCTTCTCCACTGGGTCAGCTCTGATGGGCACCCCCAGGCCCTGCCTTTCAGGAGGGCAGATGGAAGGCCCTCTGGAAATTCGGGGGATTTTGATTGTGGATTCTGAGCTGGCTCCTGCTGGACAGATGCTGGAGGCCCGTGCTCCTGGGGAGAGCATCCCTGGGGTGGGGTGGGGGCCACCGTCATCCTGGCCTTGGGTAGGTGTCCTGGCAGAGACCACACCCACCATGTGGGCTTCCTATGGGACTCCAGGCAACCAGGGGCTGTGGCCCCCACCCTAGCCTGTCCCTGGTGCCCTGAGCAGTGCACCTGCTCTGTCCCCAGGGCAGGCCAGCAGCGTGGGCACTGACCTCGGAGTCCCAGTGCTCAGGGAGTGGGCTGCAGGTGTGGACCAGAGGGGTCCTCACGGGAGTCACCACAGTCGGTCTTGGTGTCCCTGCTCCACAGACAGAGCTCGTGGGGCCCTGAGCAGCACAGGGACAGAGGGTGATGCTCCTCCCCACGTGGTGGGCGCACTGCTGGACATCTGGGGTCTGAAGCACTGGACTTGCCTGAGCAGGACTACCCCGCCCCCTCATATCAGGTGATGCCCCCAGGCCAGGCGCACACTGGGAAGGGCCTGGCGCGTGGCCTGGCTCCGGAGGCAGCCGCTTCATGGCCAGCTGTCTCAGGAGAGCGTGGTGGCTCTGAAATTAGCTCCACTAACGGGGTCGCTGGGCAAGGATGCGCAGCCTCCCTTCCGCTGGCCCAGAAACGGCTGCCCCGCCCACTCCCCCCACAGGCCTGTCCCCGTGCCTGGCTGGCCTCTGCTGGGGGTGGGGATGGGGGTGGGACTGCAGAGACAGCCCGTGTTTGCTGCAGCCCTGGTGGAGACCATAGTGTAGGGCATTGGGAAAGTCGGGGTGTGTGTGTGTGTGTGTGTGTGTGTGTGTGTGTGTGTGTGTGTGTCCTAAAATGGGGGGACCTGATCTTGCAAGGCCAATGAGGGAAGGGTACTGCGGGGTGCCCCCACTGCATAGGTTAGACTGACACCTGTGTGTGTGTGTGTGTGGGTCGGGAGGTGGCCCAGCCTCACTGCCCTGTCTGAGGGGATGACCGCTGCCTGATCCTCCGGCCTCCGTGGGCTGCTGGGCCCTTCTCCACATGGTGGGGCCTTGGAGCAGCACCCCTCAGGCACCCCAGCACCATCTGGTGTACCCCTAAGACCGCGGCAGCCTCAGTCCTGTGCTGTGTACTCCCCAAACCCTCAGCAGCCTGGCTGAGATATGGCCCCCACTGTATTCCTCAGACCCCCATAACCGTGCTCAGGGAGACACGCCCCCAGCATCCCACTGTACTGCTGGCCGGGTGAGTCTGGGCCCCGGGGCAGGACCAAGGGCCATGTTATTTTGCCGAGTTAGAAAACTGATGGGAGCAGCTCTGGATGACCACCGAATGTCTGCAGCAGTATGTCCAGTCTCAGACCCCGAGTGTGCAAAAACACACATCCAACATCTCCTGGGATGGGTGGAGCAGGGCCTCCCATCTACGTGACAGCAGGTGGCCTGCCCAGGCCTCAGGAAGCACCCCCACCCCCACCCTGGACTCCATGCAGGGCTCCTGCAGAGCAGGCCGGTCCGAGCACCATTGCCAGGACAGAGGCAGGGGCTATCCGTGCACCAAAGAGCGGCAGCGACAGGGAGCCCTGCAATACCTCTGCCTAGCCAGTGCTGATTCTGCAGACCACAGGCCCCCACTGTCCAGGACACTCCAGGCTGGCCACTCCGGAGTCTTCAGGGATGCTCCCAGGCCCCCTCCGGCAGCAGTGGCCACAGCTCCAGGGTTGCCAAGGTGACAGGAAGGCGCTCGGCTGCAGGTGGTTGGCCCGGCCCAGGTGTGGCGCCTGAAGGCCTGTGGGTGGAGGGGCAGGGATGACTCTGTGGCCGAAGCGTGTGGGAGGCAGGATGGCGCCCTGAAGCCAGGGTGCTCCCGTGCAGGCGGCCACTCACCTTGAGATAGTGCAGTTTGAACAGCTCTCCCCAAGGACTCCTGGAAGGGCTGGTGTGACCTCGAGACCCTGTGCCGTGACACCCACTCACTCACCCAGCTTGTGGACCACGACGCAGATCAGCAGGGGGCTGGCAGCCTGGGGGTTGGTCGAGCAGTCAGGGCCAGGAAATGCCACTTGCAAATGGTGGCCCAGGACCACCGCCCTCCATACCTCCTGGGAGTTGGCTTCCTCGTCCACCCACCATCCTCATTCACCTACAAGGTCCTGGCTTATGCCCAGGTTGTGCACCCCCTCCACACACATCTGTGTGTGTGTACAACACACACACACACACACACACATACACACAGACTCAGGGGCACACACACATGCATATGTACACACACGTCCATGTGCCCTACTCAAACGCACACATGCAACCTGTACACTCCACATTCAGGCCCCTGGCTCACTCACAGGTATGCACACACATGTCTGTGTACCACATTTTTACACACACAGGGGCCCCTGGCTCACAGGCAGGCACATACCATATGTGTCCATGCATACTCACACATGCACACGTGTGGCCTGGGCTCACTCATCACATGTGTACACACACACACACAGCCCTGGCTTGTTCACAGGCAGGCACGTGTGTGGTTTCATTCACATGTGCACACATGTGAGCTCCAGTTCACTCAAGGCAGGAACACACACACACATGTTCCTCAAGGCTCACTCAGGCATGTACACACACACACACACACACACAAA